GCAGGCTGCAAGAATGGGCTCAAATATAAGAACAATTGTGAGGATGCTGTAGGATCAGGCAGCGTTTTGTTCAGTTGGCACCTAGCAACAACAACAATCTTGATCAAATGACACAGATGATTATGGGAGCTCATTATGAAGTTTTAAGAAAATTGAAAACTCTAATGGTGAGAAAAACACAAGGCAAGCTGAGCCAAGAGAATTATTTTTTCCATCATGACAACACACTTGCTCATTTGTTGAGGGTAACAGGCTGTCCCGGGAGAATTGCACTGAGAAACCTTATCTCATCCACCTTATAGCCATATTCTTGCTCGTTCCAACATCTTTTTGTTCCTCAAACTCAGATCAAGGAAAAGGAAGACAGTTTGAGTCCCTTGATGATGTCAAAGTGTCACTTTAATGTGGTATAAATGGATGACCATAGAATTCTCTAGTGGAGAGTTGGCGAAATGGAAACATTACTTTCTGAAATCTACAGACTTAGATGAAGGAATATGTTGAGAAAAAATAGCTTCACATTTTGATATTTTGTCTAACAAAGTTTTCTCTGATTTTGTAACAATACTTCTCGATTGACCCTTATCGATACGAACCAAAAAGCATAGCTCCTCAGGCTCCAGTTCCTACATGCATCAGTTCGTTCCAAACAAAATGTGTTTACACGTGTCTCTGCGATGGCTGCAGATAAGTTCTCTCAGTAGTATGGCTAAGGGTGGGAATAATTTCTTTTAGAATAATTAGCACCGAATTAGTCCAAAGAAATTGGAGACAAAAATGTCCCAAATGTCCAACTTTCTCAAGATGCTTTTCTACTCCATTCCGTGCTGCCCCTGGCCTTGAGTATAGGAGGCCTGGTGGTGTAGTGGGGATGAGTTCGGCTGTGATCCACAAGGTCAGTAGTTCAAGACCACCAACCTAGCTGCTCCTCCAGTGAAAGACAGGCCTATCTGCTCCCAGAAACAGTTACAGTCTCCGAAACTCCCAGGGGCAGTTCTACCGGGTCCTATCTGGTCACTATGAGTCTGAATGGATTCAATGGCAGTGAGAAGAAAAAGCCCCCCTTAGTGTATTTGCTCACATCCCCGAGTTCTTCAAGTCTCTGCAAGGTCAAGGTCTCACAGAAACTCACAAAACTTTGGCAAAATGTCTCACATGATGGTGGTGGGTGCCATTCAGTTTCAAATTTGAAGGTCTGGCAGAGGCAAGTCAAATTCAGCGTCCAGAGCCAGAAGCCAAAAATGTCCAAAAATTATAGAACATCTTCTTGTTTCTACCAAATTTCAGTCAAGAAATACAGGTATGATTTTCCAGGTGTGTTAAAACTGTATGGCGGAACCAGTATATATATTCCATGCAAGGAAAACAAAGGCTGGTGTCTTGACATCACAAAATCTACTAAGGCAAAGTTTTGAAGATGCCCTCAAGGAAACAAAAGGTGTGGCTTGGTTCATAAGGTCTCAATCCCACCCTAATCCTGTCCATTAGTACGGTAGGGAATGCCCTCCAAAATGGGACCAGAACCCCAGGTGGATAGTCCAGAATTACAGGTGATC